ATTCAGATCTAGGATGTCTTATTTTTGTGTTCCCTTTATTTTTTTGAGCAGTGTATATACATGCAGGAGGCCGACTAGGCCACATCCACAATGGTCGTGTGTGTGTGTGTGTGTGTGTGTGTGTGTGTGTGTGTGTGTGTGTGTACACATAACCATTGTGGGTGTGGCCTAGTCGATCTCCTGCATCACAGCGGGAGGGGGGGGGCTCCAGAAGCCGGAAAGAGACCTGTTTCCGGAACTTCCAGTAGGTCTGTTTTTTGCCCTCCCCAGGTTTCAGAACTTTCTTTGAGCCTTTGGAAAGACGAAAACAGCTTTATCCGAACTCTGGAGGCCCTTCGGAGGCTGGAAACAAGCCCGTTTCCAGAACCTCCAGTAGGCCTATTTTCCTCCCCTCCCTGAGCTTCCGTAGGGGCCCTGCACTTGGCATGATGAATGGGCTGCATGGGGACTCTGGGGAGGGGTGGGCTGGTTGGTAGCCAACCAGGGGTGGCTTTTGGGGGTTCGCTGAACTGGGCAGAAACCTAGCTAGAGGATCACCTGAACCCATGCGAACCCCCAGCAGCCCACCCCTGGTCATTCCTGATTAGATAAAAGAAATTGTTTCAAGTGAAAAGGATACTAATTTATAATATTTAATTTTAAAGATGCTCTTATCTTCAGTTCAAAAGGCAACAAAGTTTTACTTTTAATTATCGTGTTTTGAATTGTAATGATTATTGTGTTTTCTTTCAAGCCATGAACTAGATGTAGAAGAAAATCCTCAGGATGATTCAGATGGAATTTTCTGCAAATTGGGGCTCCAGCATGGCACAGGACAAAAGTAAGGTATACTAAAAGGTTTTTTTAAAACATCATATAGATCAGTGCTGCTCAAACTTAGCAATTTTAAGACAGCATGCTGGTTTGGGAACTCTGGGAATTGAAGTCCACATGTCTTAATATTGTCATATTTATTTTAGACTTGTCCTAAAACAGTTGTGTCTTTAAGTAAAGATTTACCCACAGTGCTGCCTAAATAGAATTGAGTACTCAGAATTTTTGAATATTATAAAATATTGAAGGATTTCTATCATTGAAGACAATAAAAAATATTCTTAAGTCTCCAGACAATGAAAAGAATGTAAATTATGCTAATGATTCCTGCATCTGTTTCAAATCCTTGAGTGAACCTGAGATCAGTGTGGTCTTTTAGTAAGGCTTTTTAGTATATTATAACTTTCCAACAACATCTACAAACTTATGATATAGGCTTATAGATATGGCAACTTTAGAGAAAGTCAAAAATCGCATATGGAAAGTCTACAGGGTATATATATATCAACCCAAATATCAAATTCAGATGTCTTTTTCTCTAGTTTAAACATATTTACATGATAATTACTAAGGGAATAAATGTGTGGTGAAATAATTGCAACGCTTAAGACTGATGCATACTGATAATACAACCTGATTTGTATGGTTTTGGAACTGTTTTAAAGCAAGGATTTACATCTTAAAAAATTAAAATACAATTTTGCTTATATTTATCTCACACATACACACACACAAACAAAAATGTAGGCATTCTTTCTAAATAATAAATTTTTAACTTCTTTTCAGATACAAAGGCATTCCTAGCTTCAGTGAAAGAAAAGTGATTCGTGTTAATAAAAATATTAAATTTAAATCAGTGTTATTGGACATGCGCAGAACAATCAAGACTAAAAACAAGCATACATATTTTACAGATGAACCTGAAACATTTATGTTGAAGAAAAGTAAGACCTTAAATAAGGTATATATTGTTTGCATATGGAATATAGTATAGTACACAAAGTTCTGTTATTTCTTTATTACAGTAGACTACATTTTCTAATGTTAATGTTTTAACTGTACTACACTGAATAATATCAAATAATTAAATGACATAAAAGAGTATATATTTTCTAGCATATGTAACAACAGAAAAGATAGCTTTAAGTTGTTAATTTGGAAAACTGAAGAGGAAATACCATATTTTTCAGAGTATAAAACACACTTTTTCCCCTCCTAAAAGAGGATGAAAATTTAGGTGTGTCTTATACATTAAATGTAGCCAAAAGGCATAGCACAGGAGGAGGTGATGGCCTGTGGGAATCCCTGCAGCCTGAGAGAGCTGATTGGGGGTATTCTGGGAGGCCGATCCACCCGCCAATCAGCTGCTCATGATGAATCATAATGTGCTGAAGCTGACCTGGCTGTTTGCTATTTGCTGCAAGCACGTGTCAGAGTTTCCAGCAGCAATCACATTTAGAAAGAAAACACAAGTAACTGATTCAGCAGGATTCAATAACTTCTCTTTATATATAATATAATACATTAAGTAAATATACAATACCAAAAGAAGGTTTTCCAGTAGTTCAACAAAGAAGTTTCACTTTCAGTTTTAGTTTCAGATATCAGCACAGCTTGCCGCTTTAGTATAAAACAAGCCACACCCTGACTCTACTGTCTCCTTCCTTGTTGCTCAGACAGCAAATACTGTTTTATTTCCAAACAAACCTTCAACTCTCACACACTGACAGGACACTAGGCAGATGAATACCATGGATGCTGGTGGGCAGAGGCAGAATATATTTTTTTCTTATTTTCTTCCCCAAAAACTAAATTGCATCTTATACTCCAGTGTGTATCCAGTGTGTGTCCAAAAAATATGGTACTTTCAGTCTCTAAATGATTACAAGGCTTTGTTCTCAACATAGAATGTTTTGCAGACACTTAACTAATGACTTGTGTTTTGGCATTCTGCACTAGAGGCATTAAGGTAGAAGTAGTATGTACCATATTTTTCAGAGTATAAGACACATCTAAAAGAGGGTGAAAATTTGGATGTGTCTTATACACTGAATGTAACCCCACCCATCCACCGGCTCCCACCCTTTGGACTCTGCCTCCCAGAAGTTTATCTCCTTGCAGTAAACGGGGAAAATTGGGCTTGCAGAGGCTGCAACAGTGACGTGCAGGAAGGGGAGGCAGGGCCTCACTACTGTCATCATGAAAAAAAAATGTAAAAGGAAAAAGGCTAAGGTAGTTACTGTCAGAGTCACAGTGGATGACTCTGCTTAGTCTTTAAAAAGCCTCTAAAAAGTGCTCTCTGCAGGAGGAGGCGGGAGAACCACGTGCCTCATTTAGTCTATCTTTATGATCACTTGAGCAGAGATAAGCAAGGGTTAAAAGGGTTAAAAGCCGAAAAATTCCTTATGTAGATGAGGCACTTGGTTCTCTCACCTCCTCCTGTAGAGGGCGTTTTTTTAGAGTCTTTTTACAACAGTTAAGCAGAGTCTTCCATTGGGGCCTCTGGCAGCAGCTAAGCCAGCCTGACCTCAGCA